GCTCACGCTTATGACAACACATGAAAATGTTGGTCACCGCTTATGACAACAATTGAAAATGTTGCTCACCGCTTATTACAACAATTGAAAATGTTGCTCACCGCTTATGACAACAATTGAAAATGTTGCTCACCGCTTATGACAACAATTGAAAATGTTGCTCATCGCTTATGACAACAATTGAAAATGTTGCTCACCGCTTATGACAACAATTGAAAATGTTGCTCACCGCTTATGACAATAATTGAAAATGTTGCTCACCGCTTATGACAACAATTGAAAATGTTGGTCACCGCTTATAACAATAATTGTAAAAGTTGCTCACCGCTTATGACAAAAATTCCTCATCTGAATTTTGCTCATAGAATTTTTTTTCACCAAATGTTGTTTATTTCTTAAGACCAGAAACGTCACAAGCACTGTAATCATGACTGTGAGTTCACGTCTTTCTGTCTGACGCATCAGTCACGTAGCATTCCCTCCTTATGATTGAGAGGAGGGACTTCAGTCACGAAAAGAACGATGTCGTACAATATGTCGTCATTTGTGGATGTAGCGATAACGCGGGGATTTCAAAGAAAGTTGTTTTCAACAAAATTGGTGACAAATGGCGACAGTCGATGGGAAACTTGACATTCTTGGTTCTTTCAAGTTTTTAAGTAAACATTTCTCTGAAAGATGTCTCGATGTTTTGAGTTAGAGTGACACCCCCGAACCCGTCTACAAGGAACGTACTATGTGTAGAGCTGCTATATTGAGCACTTTTAAAAACTATGGCGGTGGTCGTCACGCAGCGCGTGTCCGAATTTCATGTAAATAAACAATGTATTTTACACGCGTTGTATACGTCGTTATGAGTCCCATATCGAACAGGACGCGGCGCGACGACGGTCGCCCTTTAAAATGAGAAGCCAACTAGTCGGTATTTTGATGAATACATGTATTCAATACGATACGAGTCGTTACTTCACTCTTACCATCTTGGTTTGGCGGAGAAACCCCGGGGAAAACACGTTTCCTGACTTGGAATAACCTAGCATCGTTAGTATTGGAAGACGAAAGTATTTTCCCAGCAGCAGCTGCAACAACAACAACAATATTTTTGTCTTTGTTGTCTGTTTATTTCAGATTACATCAAAGTATAATCAAAAAAAATACATCAACTTTACAATAGGTCAACCTACTACTAGTAACGAACCTGGCATTGAGAGTGTTTAATTGATTGTTTTTTGGGGCTGGCCATATGGTGAATGAGAGGTGTAATTGTCGGTATCATTAATCTTAATAAGCCCACATGACATATGGATGGATTTGTAATATTGTTGGAGCATTTCAAAAGGTGTTAACCGCTGTACTTTAAATCTCTGAATATTCATTAAAAGCGGTCGCCATGTAGGTGTTTTCAAAATACGATTTTCAATTTGAAAGTGAAATGAAACAGGTGTGATTTTTCTGAACACAAATTACGCCGGTTTTTGTATTTTTTTTAAACGATTGTGTTATATTTAATATTTATATTTATAGTGTTTTTATAGTGATATTTTACTTATGTAGAGGTTCGTGTTTCGTGACTAGGGTTCATGGATGGAAGATACCCAAAGAAACGAAATGATCGGCAAGTAGCTTGGGTTTGAGAAATTACACTAAGCATACAATATTACTTGTGAATTTCCGCTCCGTGCGCGGCATACGCGATATCTTCAAACCGAACTTGCCTGTAATGACGGAGTAATTAATCAACAAACAATCATAGTCTCATACGATATGCTTGGTCTTCGATTTTCGAAAAAGTTGGTCATAAATCGCATGACAATGTTCAATGGATTATTATGTAGAATAATGACGCTAATTTCACATTTTTTGTCGGTTACAGTGAAATTGGGAAATTAGGCCTAATAACAATTCCATAGAACACAATGTTAAAGAAACTGTTTTGATACTTATTAAAACCCAGACTTTTGAAATAATTGAAGACAACAAAAACGTGCCCCATCCGTCACAATACATAATTGTTTTAGCCTATGTCACCAGGCTACAATTTGAGATAAGGCACACTATCTCTGCCATAGGAACTTATGGTAAAAGCGTTATAATCAATATCCATATATAATCTGGGTTTTTGCATTCAGTGTGACTTCTACCTTAATGTTAACGGCCACATAAAGTATGTTAAAGATGAATAAATCTTCTTGTACTTTCTATGCCGCAATGCCATATTTTGTTTACATTCTCGGGGTTGTTTTTCTCTGAGTCGACAATTTACATGGTGAGTGCAGACGTTTTACCGCAGATCGGCCGATAGGTCATGCACCCCCCGTAGGTACATTATAAATTCTCTTCTTCAGTGAACATTGGATCAGTTCGAAAAAGAACCAGTGCCGATAATTCACATAAGGTTCGTATGCCATTTTAATTTGTTGTACGTTTTTTCGCTGCTATGAGTCTTCTGCAATTCAGTCACAATTTTTGTGTTCCTGTTTATTCTTTTTCAATTAGTACTCATTATTTTCTTTCTGACTGCATTAATCATTACATTTATGTGTCACATCGTACTCTTCTAAAATCCCGCATTTGGCGAGAGGTTCCTTTGTGACCATGTGCTGCAGTGCAATCAACGCAAGATCAAAGCTGTTTCTTCGGGAAATTTATATTTATCTTGAACATTTTTCTCGTCTTTAGTACGGATATAGTAATAATATAACAACATTTGCCAGTTTTCGAAGGGATCACCGAGTATACATTTATACAATTTATGTATACAATATTTTACGTGTGCTGTTTGTGTTCATGAGAAGTATTCGGCGAGTTATCCAAGTACTCCTTTCTGATATTATCATGCATATACGACGTGCAAACTGTTTTCATACTGACAGTCGTTGTTGCTAACACTGTTGCACTTTCAACGAGTTTTTAAAAATAACAATTTCAAAAGTTCTTTAGTATCTCGCTATGCATCGGAAAAAAATATATATTCAGAATTATGTGCTGTTTCCCCCCACAGAGTAACACAGTAGTCGATTGAAGAAATGGCTGCACTTTACATTTGTTTGGTATGTCTCTATCATATGCGTTTACAATGCTTTATTTTTCTCGTCATACTGCGTGTTATTTTGATTTCTTGGTATATTTATGGTGATGTACACTGTCCTGAACGGTTTTATATGACATATTTACAAACGTTTTCTAAATCTCAAATGACGATTGACAATAACAGCAACCGGGGAGGGTCACGACTCTGTGTTTTTATTATTGCACTTTTCATTGAAAATAAATTTGCATTATTACATGTAATATTCATTTAGATTTACGGTTGCAGTTTAAAATGAAAGGGCCCGGCCGTGACGTTTTGGAACCGGGTGTGACATTTGAGTTGGAATGTTATTTTCAAATACTGCTTTATATAACTACAACCATGGGCGCATTTAGAGGGGCCGAGGGGGCCGCAGCCCTCCTATGCCTTCGGCCAACTTATCGCCCCCCATTCCAGAATCCTAGATCCGCCCCTGACAACAAAAAGAAACAATGTATGAACTTAAAAAATCACTAGTTGGGGTAACAAGGATGTCGCTTATACGGCCCATATTTTCACGTTAACGCATATAAAGTCCTGCACCGACATGAATACACGAGTTTAGTATTCAAGGCAACTGACTGTGATCGCTACTAGTGGTCTGAATAGAACTAGCGCTCGCAGCTTTTTCAAACTTTTTCACGTTAGGTTCTGTTGACTGTGGTGATCATTAGTGAAGCGGATGAAACCAGCTATGGACCACGTGAGTAACTCTTTTTTTGCAACAAATTCCATTATACAACGAGGCCCGGGTTTATAATGAATTAATGTATGGGTGGATGTTCTGAGTGTGTGAGCGAATGGAGTGGTAGGTTGCCGGATCATGGATGTCAATGTGAATGATGTGAATGTAGGTTCAGATGGATGGGTGGATGTTTTGTTTTAAGGGATGATGTGTGGCTATAGATGGCTGTATGCATGAGTGGGTGGATGGCTTTGGTTTTTTGATAGATGATAGTGGATGGGTTAGTGTATGAATGAATGGATGTATGAATCGATTTGTGGGTGAGCTAATATAATACTGTAATGGTCACATGAGTGTGTGGACTAAATGAATGCATGATGGATGACGCTCTCAGTGTATATTAATTTGTACGTACCATTTAATTGTTTTTTTTTTTATAGGGTTTTGTCCAAAGCTGGACAAAACGATTAGATTGGGGAACACGCTTATTGGTAGCTCCATAGAGGAGAGGGCGTGTGATTGCTATCAGAGGTGTGTGGACATGACAGGATGCAAAGTGTGGGTCTATTACAAGAAGGAAGGAAAACAATGCGAACTGTTCTTAGACGCCACACCGCCTCTCTGGAATACAAAAACAGTGACCGGTCTCATAGATAGGCGTGAGTATGTTCAGTTATTGTTACTTTTCAATACGTGACAAAGGCTTCTGTGACGTTTTAAAGAGCGGTAATCGTCACGAATTTCGTGTAAACGTATCTATGAGTCCCATATCGAACAGGACGTGGCGCGACAACCCCCCCAAGACAATTTGTTTCATAAAACCCTGCATTCTACTCCAGTTTGTATTAGTGGGACACCTAATAGCAGTCAAACCGAAATATATACTTTATTATTCATGTATATTGTGAAGAAATTGTGATTTAAAGGGCGGTGGTCGTCATGCCGCGCATATGCGACATTTATGTTCATAAATATTGATTTTCCCACAATACAATGCATTCTTCTAATGAAATCACAAGTGCGAGTTTTGACCTGTCTTGCAATAATTACCGCCAGTGTCTCCTCGATACCTTCCAATCACCTAAAAAATGCCCACTTAAAGCTCGGTAACGTCTCAGTTTGTACTATGCGCTGGTCTGCGCAACAGTCAAAGTCGCCATCTGTGTTTATATGAGACCCATATCCCGTGCACGCGTAGCACGCGACCACCGCCCTTTAAAATGTGACTTCAATCCCAGCATACTCACTTGATCTTATTTTCGTTTCCGTATCAGCTTGTGAGCTTAGTGACACAAAGGATAGGCCTGAAGGTGACATGGGTCACGGAAGGTTCGTTGACGAGCCATGCGATTGCCATGATTTCTGCGTGGACTTTGATGGTTGTAAAGCATGGGCTTGGAACAAGAGAACCCGTTGGTGCAGACTGAAGAACGTTGTCAACGACGCTGTGTATAAAAAAACACATGTCTCAGGAGTCGTGTGAGTTTTCCGTTTATAATCACATTACCATCATTTATCTCTGCTAGAGCACGCTAGAACAAAGTGATTGTCCAAGATATTGTCCACGTTAAAGCGGGGGAGTCGTCACCTGTGCATGCGTCAAATGACCTAGCGTGTCATAGTTTACAAACAAGTGTATACCCATGAGCCTTTGCATTTTAGTGTGTGTTGTTATCATCGCCTGGGACTCAATTCCCGCGCACGCGCAGGTGAAGACCCTCCCACTTTAACATTGAAAAAAATGACACACAGTGCTAGCCAAGATGAAATGTCGTTGGGTAATTTCAGACTAAACAATAAATAACAGTCCCCATCGATCATTAGCAACACTTTTGTGATGAAAGAATCACTTTTTCCTCTTCACTTATTAACAAGATGATGTTGTGCAATGAATCTTTCTTATAAGTAGCGCCCTATCTCAACAAGAGATTGAAGACTATTTGTGAATATAGAAATATTTCAGTTATCCTCTTCAGTTATCTCAGCTTATCTGATGTGGAAACATTTTTGCTGCATACTGCTGTGGTTCTTTAACTATATGTTTTCTATTTTTTTTAGTGAATAAGTACGAGTGTTCTACACCCAAGAATTATTTGTACTTGTAATTTTTGGACATGGCGTCAGTAATACCAGCAAATTTTACAGGGATAAGAAATATGTTCGATGTTTATTTCAAGTGATGTACATATTTTGAAATATTACGGAGTGTAATAAATATGTATTTTAGTTTGAATCGTTTTGTCAAGAAGATTTGTAGCTGAATACATTTGTAGAGACAATGTATAATAAATCTGTATTCTCTGATATTAAACACCTCACCGTATCGAGTGAGTTTAAGGGTTTATAATTTACAGGCTTTGGCCAAAAAATATTTGAAAATCCCAAACAAATGTATTGATACCCTGACTGCCGCTATAGGTCTTCCAGAGCTTACCTTCTATATAATCAAGCCGACTAGGAAGGCGAGTCTGGAATTGGAACCTAAAGTCACATCAGTCAGTACGATAAATGTAGCCTGTCACTGCACTCAGTCCAAATAATAGCCCCAGGCACGCTGAGCACCCCAAAGCACCATTGTTGTATGGTTAACGTACTGTTGCTGAAACCACAGGAACAGTGGATATCACCGGGGGGGGGGGGTACTGATGTCAATGGCAACTTAAACATATTATTTGCAGATCCTGCAACATACTTTTTTCAATCAAGCATGTGATTGACTGTTGAATCAATGGGTCCAAATCTCTATACAGAGAGGTGTTAAATAGAAAAAAACAAAAAGGATCAAGGACTGGCTGCAGACCTATATTCTGAATACCTGCCTACCAAAACTAAACACCTTCACATAGGGTGTGTGCCCCACACATTGATCACTGACAATGTAGATGTGCAGGGCTAAGAGACAGACAATAAAGATATCATGTTCCTCCTTGGTGTTTGCCTGAGCTATCTCTGTCAAATCAAAATTTGACCATAATTGTCTGCAGGCTTTCAAATAGGTCAACGCATGTCAACTTCTAGAGAAGGTACTGACAAAACGAGGTGAAGGAAATTATGAACCAAAGTGTTCTAAAAGTGGTTCAAAACAAATAACATTGAGTGATTCCTCACCTACAGTGACCACAAGCCTTATGTTGCAGAGCAGTGAAATATTACGTTGAGGAATACCATTTTCAATATATTAAAGGGCAGTGGCCCTTAAAAACTTTTGGCTGAAAATTAGAAACACTAGACTGAATTTAGCATTAAGTTGAATCCCCAAAGGAAGTTACCAAGGATAATGTCCATACAATATTTCATGCATTCTGTTTGGACTTAGTTCACAATTAATTTATTCCTTGAAAACATAAATCAATGTGCATCTGTACCAGTGGTCCAGAGATCTCCGAGAAATGATGATGGGCACACCCCAAAAACTGGATTTTACAGGATTTTGACATTCAAGATGGCCTCCAGGCAGCCATTGTTGATCAAATCAGGAAATAAATCCATGTGAATATGTATACTTTCTCACTATGTCTTTGTACCTAGTATCATTGGAATCAGTCAAGGCATCTCTGAGAAATATCAATGGACAGACAAAAGCAATGATCAACAATCAAAATGGCTGCCAGTCGGCCATATTTCATCATTTCAAAAAAGTCTTTGTAACAAGTCTCAACAAAATCGGTTAAGCCATCTCCGAGAAATTACAATGGACACACAAGGAACGAATTTGACTGAATGTTGGCATTAAAATGGCTGCCAGTCGGACATATTTGATCGAAACGGAAAATAAATTGACTTGCACGTGTCCACTATGTCTTTGTACCCAAAAAATCGGTACAGCCATCTCCGAGAAATCACTCCGGACGGACAGACAGACTTTGTCCGGGTGGGGGCTACTGATGTCTAAGTTAGACATATCTGCCAACATTTCATTGGATTTCATTAGATGATAATTATCCGATAATATGGGAGAAAAAATATTTTGCACAATAGTTGCCAAGACATGGGTGTTTATAGCTTTATTAGACGATAATATCGGAGAAAAAAACGTAGCACGAGTTAGTGGTGCCAATATTCATTAGATTTTATTGGATGATAATTATCCGATAATGATTTATATGACCTTGTCGCGCCTTCATGGTTACGCTGTTACCGCCATTATGGCGATTTTACCATATTTAACAAAATTCAAACTTATTCTAATATCATGTTGGCTTTCAGCGGATCTGCTTGAATGTACATTGTCAAAGTGAATTTGGTAGCCATGTTCGTCTTCTGAAAGAGAAAGATTGTCCATGATAATGGGTGTCAAATTGTTCTAAAAGGCCTTTAATCGTGATGCCACAGGGAGTGGAGAGTGGTATCACCCATAAACAAACACCCAAAACAGCCTGCCTATTGATGCATTTGCTTGAACTGTCTATCACCCCGTCAGCTATGCAGATGCGCGTGACCGACCCCGTAAACATAGGGTTTCCACAGCAATTCAGCATCACTACCTCTTGACGCCCCTGACAGGAAAAACTTTATAAAGAGTGATCTTTGAATTACAAGCAGAAATTGAGTTAGTCATACTAGTTGAAAACCAATGGTGTACCATACGCGGTGTGTGGGACAGCGCCCCCAAGGAGATGCATGTACTATTATTCCTGCCTTGTGCGACAATTTATGAGACACCATGCTGCCTCCTGAGGACAAACAATCTCCCTTGCTAAGGAGTCTGGGTCCATCAACGCTTCTGAATCGTATGGTTCAAGCACAGTCAGCTGGTGCACAAGTGATAATCAAATAAATGCGATGTTTACTAAGTGGGGGCCGCCATCTTGAAACTAAATAGAGACAAGTTGTGAAACACGTTTTTCAGATTTCTACAAATCAGGAAAAAATAAATATCTTTCACAGCCAAAAGATCTGTTCGGGTAAAATTAATTGGCCGAATTCAACGTTTTTGTGTGGAAAAATCACTTGTATACAAACACTTAATTACACGAAGAACACTTTCCTGGGGTATTTGAAACCTCCATTGTCATATAACTGTAAGGCCGCCGCTGATTGGCTGCTGAGTTGGAATGACAAATTTTGGTTTCAAACACTGAAACTAGATCATTTCAAGTTGATGATGAACAACGCACTAAGAGATTATTTGATGCAATTGCAGGAAAACAAAGTTTGCACTGAGACAGTAACCAACCAGTGTTATTAACCAATAGGTAGCTAATACATGCAAGCGATACTGTCTGTATATAACACATAACTCTTTGTTGTACATGTGGTCCAAGTGACATGTCAACATTTTTTTTATTCACAAAACAAATTTTGTATTTCAGAAACATGACTGCAAATTCATTGAATAATCTAGAAAAAAGAATACCCAGACTTGCAGGAAATTAACAAGGTTTAATCTGATCAAAAAATGCAACTGATGTCAATGTGACAAAACCTCAAAGGAGGAACTTGTTAAATCTTATGCACCTTTATTTCTAATGTGGGTGGCGAGGTTAGCATAACAATAGTTCCTTTCTTAATCACACCAACATTGTAATAATAACGATATACTGACCATATACTTGTACATAGAAATTAAACAAACAAGGGCATACAAAATACAAGGATCTTGACTCAATGAAAAGTCAAAAAATTGCAACCCGGAATCTATGCAGTGTTCCACTCGTACATCACTCCATTATGGCCTAGGTACGATGCTAGCAATATCATTTAGATTTATGCAAAAGCTACACAATATGGGATGTCATACATGTACGCAAGTTATGAAGAGAATTCCGTAATATATATACAGATCATATCAAACAGCGGAGGTTGATGCGACATTGTACTGCAAGTGCATGCATACGATGCAATAATTCTTGTGATAACCTTATTATTGTACTTTTTTTTTTCTGTAGTAATAAATTAGTGAGGTACAACAGCCTGAAATGCTATTGTGTTGAGTCATATGCTACATTCAACTTCAACAAAGAAAGTGTTTGAATGCATATTCTCCAATAAGAAAGACAAGCCCAGTTATACTCTTGAACACGTCTGTATGAAATTTTACAAGCAGATAAATTCTTTTGTTTTTGGTGTCTGATGTATAACGCATTTTTTGCGACACTGAATACTACTTTTTGATGTACCGGTATACCCTCAACTCCCAGATAATTGACAATTTTTATATCAACGATGTTTTTAAACAACCAATCAAAAATGTATAACTAATTGATAATCACAGGATTTGTATCTAGTCAGTGGAGCAAAGCAGTAGGTGGAACACTACATCGATATATGACTGTACACCAACAAGATGTCTCGGATTCAATCTTCAATCTCATTTCAAACTCTTTATAGACTATCATTAGCACCAAATTCAATTCAAAATTTTAGTGTGGAATGGTTTCAAAAAATTTCATTCAAACTGGGATTAAATACAACATGAAACTGAACTTTTTAAAACATATACAGCCAATAAGAAATATAACATGGAAGTCACATGACACCCAACAATGGAAGCAACCATTCCTATTCAAGGGGTGACAGAGATAAATTTTCAATTGCAAATACAATAAAATAAAATGTACACTTCTTAAAATGTATTCAACACATTTTCAACTTAATTTTTCATGTTCAATTCATTTTAAAACCAAAACTGGTAAAAACTTCACAAACTACAACTCAGCTTTCACAAGACTTGGAATACTTCGTGCAATTGGATAAAACAATCGCTAACAATGTAAAATGTTAAAAGTGGTTTTTTGAATACCATAATTTTTCCAACCTAATTTTGGTGCACATTTTTAGGTATTTTTCAATAATAATTCTGAGCCACATTGTCCAATAACGACAGTTCTTAATCACAATTGTAGAAACAATAGATGTGGGAAGTTATTCCATGAAAGGCAATACAAGTTTTAAAATACCAAGCTGATTTTAGCAGTTTTCAAACAATGTAAAACTAACTAAATGAACATTGATGCAGCAGATGAGGAAACGTAGGACAATATATCAGATCATACGTCAAACACTATCACATGCAGATATCTAAAAGGAATTTTCAAACATGTGTTTTCCAGTGTGCATGCATTCATTCATTCATTAAGTCAGTCAGTCAGCAAAAATATACAGCTTTAAGTGGATTGGAAATACAGTGAATAAAAACAAACTACAAATTCAACTATGTATGAAAAGATAATACAAGTTTACCAATTATGGTATTTTAACTTTTGGAAAAAAAAATTAAGACACGAGATACATATGTAATAGTAAACTGCCCTGATAAAATCATAAAACTAAGCCTGAAAACTAAATATGACCAAGTATTTCAGTATAACAAGTACAGAAAAATCAGAAACGCGTTTAAACTTACACAATTCGGTTAGTCATTTTGTTGTATACTATATTATAAACCGGCTATGATGAAAATAACACTCAACTTTAATATTCCAAGTGTATTGGCTTTCTCCTCAGTTTCAGTGTTTATTTTCAATCAACTAGGCCAAAAAAAAACACTTATGTTGCCCTCAAGTTGGAAAATTGGGTGGGTCGGTCTGATTTTTTTTTTCCCAGAGTAATACAGATCAACCCGAGGTTCAAAGTCATCACTTATCCCCCGGGCACCCTTGGGATAAAAGAACGGTGCAGGATCGTTAATTTTTAGAAAAAACACTTTTTTACTGCTTAAAATGGTGAATTTTTATTATTTGGGCCTATTAAAAAAAAAAAAAAATGAGACCCGATATTTCATATTTTGCGCTCGATCGCTGAGGGCAACAAAACATTTTTTTTTTTTTGGCCCTATGCTGAAACACTTATCTTTAATATTCTAAGCAACTCTGTTACTATAACTATACTATTGCTTCACAAGGCGAGAGATGATTTGAATAAAAATATTCATGTGCATAGTAAAGATAATACTTCAAGCAACATTGGTGGCTTGACACCGAGGCAGTTTATTGAGTGATGGTGACAGAAAGAGACAATTTTAAAAATGTATATGAAGACGTAATAAGTTTATTAAAGACTAGTAGATTCTTGCTGGTCAGTACAATGGCCTGCAAACTAAAAATTGAAATACTAGACATAATCAGAATTTCTCAGTATCTTGTTTCACACAAAACAGCAAACTTTGAAAGTCTAATTTGTGCCATATTACGATGGAAACAATACACATAGTTGCAGACGTATTTTAGTAACTATTATTGTCACAGCATTTTTTAGGCCCATCTAAGCAAAACAATGTTTTATCACACTATGGAGTAGAGTGAATGTGAACCAAGAAGTTTACAAGTCTTATGATTGCTATGGAAATAAAGAGAAGAGAAGTATTTGAGATACTGAAAAACAAACTGTTGCATCCGTTGCTTTGTGTAGTGTTCCATGTGGGCTCCATGCAACATGTACAATACATGGTTAACACAAAATTGTAATGTGCAGTAGGAGTTAAATACAACCTTTCCCTCTAACAAGTAAATTAGTTTATAACTAATTTGTATATAAGAGAGGATATACACTCAGTAAAATAACTGTTCAGATTTTGAAAAGACAATCTAACTCACAGAACGGACAAAAGCAACAAATACAAGTGTGTGAACAAAGCAACTGAGTGAAAGCATACATCACAAACTTTTAAATTTGTTAAACCAAATGGCGCACCATCAGACTATGTTACAAATGTAAAATTACTCATCAAACTATCATACTGGTTAAGCTTATGTACAGATATATTTACAAAGAAGGTTATAAAAGCTGAATTTGTCAAAAAACATTAAGGCAGTTTATGTTAAGCCGAGACTGCATAATAACGATGATCATAATATCACCAAGACAGGGCATAAATACCAGCATTTGCAGAACCACCAGTAATCATAATAAAGTACAAAATATATTTAAGTGAGAAACAGTCCAACTATTGAAGTTATGTGGAGCAGCTCTCACTTCTAATAAGCGTTTTTTTTTTTTCATTCTAGCTATTCTTATTTCACTGAACATGTACTGTATTTGCTCCAGCAGAAGCACATGTAAAATACAACTTCTTTTTACCATTGACATTCCTGTCTCATTTAAAACCTAAGTGATGATTTCATTGACAGGTTTAAGAGTTCCTTGATGGAAAAACAGTAAATATAGTTTTTATTTGTACTATCTAAATCTTAGCAAGCATCTTTATTGTAGAGATTCTTTAAGTAGTCTGAACAAACAAGGATTTTTTGAGAATTAGCTATTCGATTTGGATAGGTTTCATTGTAGGACAACACAATCCAATCCAAATAATATAGAAATTTGTGAGTCTGAGTCAAACAATACAGTGACAGTGAAATTGACATTAATTTTAAGACGGAGAGTCGTATTAACTTTTGGCAAATGTTATCCTCATGAACGTTCTCAAAGCACACAAATTGAGAGCAGCAAAAATATAACTAATACTGTAATAATAAAATAATTATAATAAATCTAAACTGGCCCTTCTTGGCATTGCGGAAGCCAATAATAGTCACATATTCAGGAGACTAGCAACTGGAAAAATCATCAAATGCAAATGTATGCAAGGGTTCCTGACATACGACTTATAAAGTCAGTTGTTATGACCACTCACAGAAACAGTCTACTAAAATCACACATCATATTGCTGTGAGAGACAAACACCAGGAACTGACTGGATTACACCAGTAACACAACAGTGAATGGCTTCCCATTATTACGAGCCAGTCCTTAAATAAAAAAAAAATTCTGATGTATTTCTGCTAAACATAATACTTGGTAGTTAAGAATATGTTGCGTCTCTCAAGCAGATAAAAGTGTGGTAAACTTAAATCCAGATGGAAACCAATTCTGCTTTCTGGTCTGCTTCTTATAAAGGGTATATATAAATCTTTAATCTTACACAATTATCAATTAATCCAGTAATATTTGTCCATACAAATTAATAACCTTGTTACCCGGTACACACTGTAAATTTTGTTTACTTTGGATGTTTGCTATGATTGGACAGCAACTGGTAATTGTTCTTGGGATGAGGAAGATGATGCTGACGATGATGATGATGATAAAGATGGTGCCGATTGTGATGATGCCATCTTGAGCTGTTCTTCAATCAGATTGGCAACTTTGTCACGATCATTCTGAAAAAAACACATATGAAAATTAAGTTTATACTAAGCAGAACACGGTATGAACATAAACTGTGGTGATTTAGGATCTGCCCTGTCTTGCATAAAGTGTGTCAATGGTAGAATAGAATACTGGAACGAGAAAGTATAATGGCACCCACCACATTTATAAAGCCAAAATGTACCAATTCTTCAGCAAGAGTGTAACTATTATCATCAGGAGAGAAATCACAGTCCAACTGGCGGTTCATCTTGTCATCCATTCTCAGAATAATTGTTAACTGTAAAATAAAAAGTGAAACCTATAAACAAACTAAAAAGATTATCAGGTCTTAAGTAATATGATATTTATATATAAGAAATGTAACATTGTTTGAATAGTCTTGGGACAAATGCGACCACGAGTCGGTAATTTTCAATCAGGCCAGAGGAAAATGACAGCATTTGTTTACAGTAATGTATCAATTATGCACAAAGTTCAGAAGAAAATCCATCCAAGGTTACAGATGAATGCATAAAATTCACGAGTCCCTAGACTATCTTGTCATAGTTCAGATAATGTGTGTAGATAAACTATTGGCATATGTATACATCGTAGCATACATAGTATTATGAAGTTATCATGAGAATACTGCCAGAAGGCAGTACAGTAACAAACGGTTAACAAACGCCAATGCTTTATTCCCTTTATAACCTTTTTATTAAAGTGGAACCGATACTATAAATAGGGGCAAGTTGGCCACCACAATTAGTAGGCTAATCCGAACCAAGCCACTCACATCGTGGTGAGAGCTCCGGGATATGTGCCATTTATGATGTTTAGAGATCAAGCTGCGATTCCAAATACATTTCTACGGGGCATTAATATGTACGCTAGCGATTACACTCATCTGGTTGGGCTTTTGACGCATAAATGTTGTTGTTTTCGGTCGAAACGTGCCGCAACAAGTAAAAATCCTGAGTTAAAAATGGCAGCTAATGTATGCAAAATGCCTGCCAATCACAGTTTGAGTAAGCGAGCATAAAAAGCATGCATTTACTTAGTGGACAGAGGTGGAGTGCAATCACGTGGTGCAATCCATGGGATTGAGTGGTTCCCCTTTAGACATCGTTTCCCTGCTTATAGTAGTAATTAAATGACAGATGACAGCTTGAAATGACAAACGTTTTGTGCAGTGCAAAAGAAAGGAAAGACTTTGCAAGTGACATCTATAATGAACACCACAATATGGGTGAAGAAAGTTGAAATGAGTGCAGATATGTTCTGGAACGAATTCAGATTCCTTTTTTGGGGTAAATTATATTGTTTGTTTTTTTAAGATGTATAATAATGATATTTATACTAACATTAAACGTTGGCGCTGCAGTTTCCTTCTGTAAACTAACATTACACTGCATTTGTAGTATTTGTCTGAGCTCTACATCTACTGGATCTGGAGTATTGCTCTTCACAGACTCGGCTATTTCAGGTGTGGGTGGCCGTGGTTTGCCTGGATGGGGATCTTGTAATGCAAATGCTGTCAGTGGATAGATTCCATTCCTTGAATAACACACATCAAATTATTGTTATTCTTTGGGAGCAAATTTACTGTGTTTACTTCATTAAAACAGTTGACGTAATGGCACAAACAAAAGTCCACCTTGCTTACAAGATTTAAATTTGAAAAAAATATTACAGTTTTTTTTAATTACGAACATCAATTGTATGCACTTTGTCCATTTTCCAAATCAAAATGGCCACCAAAGCAAACGCATGACGAAAGTCATTGTTTCAAGGAAACAAATTAGCATCTGATACAAATTTTTATAATTTACTTTTTGTCATTTACTTGAAAACTCAACAAGAAATTCAGATTTTGTAGAGCAATTTTAACCAGTTAGCCAAGCATATTCTTAATACATGCCAGAGGTTATGTCACAACAAGTTTGTTTAATGCATAGTCCCTCGAAACAACAACTGTTTGAGATGTGAATCACTTCAATTTTGCGTACATACTTTACACACAGGTACAGGGAAGTATGTTTGTAGTACAAACATTATGGCTAGCTTTCAGGGAATGTCCGAATTACAGAATTTTTACCCCCCCCCCCCCGTTGCTTCATTAATTTTAATGAGCAATGCATTCAGGCCGTCAATTTGAAACTTTGAAAAACATGACATTGCTATACATCAGTACTCACCGGACGTCTTCCAAGAATTTTTCATATTCAAGAATTGGAACTTGTTTACATCTAAAACAAACAAATTGAGTGCCATTAGTACAATGTATGTGTTTTAAAAAATGGAGGTGTGTATGTGGTCATATTAATAAGTCATATTTCAATAATCCGATACAATAAATGCAACTGTTGGTTTACAGGAATTTGGTGAGGCGAGTTCGAAATAAGCAAAGATGATGATTGATTGATTGATTTTCCAAAGTTTTCTGTGATGTCATTAACACATTTGTTGGGTCAAAAATTTGTCAGACACCAGTAGCTAAGTTCAGGAATTAATGAATTGACAACAAATTTTCACATCCCAGCGCAATGAACAATGTAAATGGCAAATTTCAGACAAAAGGAAGAACTTAATAAATAGACAAAACATTAGAAATGTTCAGGAAGTTACTGGCCAGCTACCAAAAAGATAAGATTTTCATCTGTCTGAAGTACTAATAACTTACTTCCATTGCACACCTTCCCGGCCGTCTTGATGTGATATTTCTGCCATCACCTTCTCGGGAGTACTCTGTTCCCTTATTGCTTCTGTAGTCAAGTTTTCTGGCAGTAATCCTACAAAACAATCAATTTCATGTTCAAGTAATAAGCATATGATGTTCACAGTACCTGAATGACCTGATAGATGGATGGAGTCAGCCATCTTGAATGACCTGATAGATGGATGGAGTCAGCCATCTTGAATGACCTGATAGATGGATGGAGTCAGCCATCTTGAATGACCTGATAGATGGATGGAGTCAACCATCTTGAATGACCTGATAGATGGATGGAGTCAGCCATCTTGAATGACCTGATAGATAGATGGAGTCAGCCATCTTGAACAGACTTCACTGCTACTCATAGACTTCAACTACTCATAATTGTAAATTCTTTCACCAAGAAAATTGAATTAAAACACGTTCCTATATGGGGTTGCGTTTTAATTAAATTTAATTAAACAAAAGTTGATTAATAAATAAAAAGTTTGCAAAGATTAGGTTTAGTAAAGGGGGTAGGTATGGTACAATTATATTAATATAAATTGAACCATACCTCTATACTTAACCTAAGCTATGTAGCACAAACACATACACGTGCATGCGCATGCACAAACCAGATGTCCTTGTTTCAGACTTCATCCAAATGGGGGCTAAAAAAGTAGAGCATGTGCTTATGGAAATGCCAGAGAAATGTCTATGGTCAAAACAAGTCATTTCAATATATTATTAGTTGCAGTACATGCAAATGTAGGTTTACATGCATTTATTGAAGATTCGCTTCTAATAGAACAAATACTGTATTTTTAATGACTTACTTTCATGTCTGAAAAAACTATGAGCAGCTAGGAGCTTTAATGAGTGAACTTCGAATAAAACTTGATGAAACAAGAGTTCCCTTGCCGTAGGTCTTTTTCCACAATCTTCCGTTAAACAGCAACGAATAAAATTCTAGAGAAAAAATTAACAAATTGAACGCAGAATTCAAATGATTGTAGCCAATACACCAAATATGGAATCTTGTGTGTTGAACACCAAACATTTTAATACATCGCTAATACTGCACATTTCTATGTCATCTTCAAGATTTCCATAACACAGTCTCATTATGATATGAGAATAATTAATTAGAGAAGGAAAATTTATCAGTGTTTTGTTCCGAAAGTGTCACATAATGAAATGTTGACTTACTGATTGTAACCTGTCTTCTATTTTACCAAGTGCAGCAAATATCGTATCTTTTGTTATGCATGTACCATCGCCGTTGTTTTGTAAACCAAGACATGCCATCTCCAAAGCAGAGATACCAAATGCATAAATATCAACGGCTGTTGTTACTTCACCTAAACCTACAAGTGAAATAATAATAAACTTAGACCAACGTCCTCAAATGGTGACTTTTAGATAAAGATCACAAATTGCAGCTGATACACTCCTGTTACTAAGAAATTATGGAATAAATTAATCAAGAAGTAGGAGAGAGCATGGTAAACACGACAGAATATAAATAGTAAACAAAACTGAAATGAATCAGCCATTTTGAATTAGAAGATAAATGAGAATTAGGAGAAAATGAACAAGTATTTTCCCTTCAAAATGAAAAAAACAAGTTTCTATTTCTGTTCCCAGAGGAACAATAGCTGTTTTTGCGTAACTGAGATTTGTGTTCAAAAAAGCAGAAATACTTTATTTTGATGAAATTTAAGATTAAAATGGCCGCCATTTAGCCATCTTGAATCTAATCATCAAACAAATACCGTACTCGACCGTGCAAGCGCCCATGCACGGGCAAGTGCCCATCCCCCAGTTTTGCGCAATTTTTATATTTGGGGTCACATTCGGCAAAGCGCCCACCCCTTCAAAATGCAACTAATTTAATACTTGGTCTTGGCATAACGAATCTTGGTAATCGTTTTTTTATATATGATACAGCGTGGATATCGACCACTGTGAACATGTTGTGAATGTGTAGAACACGGTAACCGTGCGTAAACTATGCTTCGACAATGACCTGTTAATACAAGTAAATATATCATGCCATATACAGTTTACCTCTCAAAAATGGCTAGTTACTATTTTTTTGGAAAAACCATGTCGTTTATTCACTGAAATC